GGTCAAGAAGAGTTGATCCGGTAGTCCAAGTTAGCCATGTTCAATCCTGCACAGTGTTCTCCACCGGTCTTTTAACATAACACTAGTTCGGTTGTTGAAATCACCATGCACCAGAATTTTAGCCCAGTTACCCACTCCAAACTCCTTTATTCCTGATTTCAGTTCCAAGTCTTCTTTGTAAGTCCATCGCTAGGGGAAGAACAGAAAAAAATACTGGATATATGAACAGAGAAAGGTGTTCATGTGAGAGCTAAGCTTATAGCAAATACAAAAGCAAGCTTTTATACAGCTCTCTATAGTTATTACAGAGTACAGATGTCAGAGAGGGTCATTTTGATTTCTTTTGAGCACCACAACTTGACGCTAAATACAACAAAGGTAACCAAGTCAAGTGTTACAACACAGTAACAGGTGTCAACTGGAACGAGAACCACACGCTTCAACATTCACAAGTTACAGGAGGAAAAGAAAAAAAAGAGACATCGGGCAAAGTTTTGCTTCATTCAAAACAGTACAATTTCCAGTATTGTACTTCATTAGCTAATTGAGCCAAGACAAATGCCAAGAAAGCATTTTGTGACACATTAACCTAGGGACTGAGAATCAAGATGCCATTTATCAACAACAAAGGAATTTCAGTGTGCTTAGAAAAACCAAATCCTGTTGTTTAAAACACTGATAGAAGCACAATGATACATACTGCATCTGAAAGTGAGATCAGCCATATCCTCAGGTAACAGCTATGCATTTGTTTTTAGCCATTTGTTGAGCCCACAACTTAAGTCTCACTGTTATGACCTACAACCTTTTTAATCTTTAGGGGATGACATTTCTCTCATAAAAGGAGAGAAAATTACTTGCAGTTATACACCCGTAAGCAGTCCCTTAGAATGAAGCTCTCACGTGTACCACTTCTTCCTTAGTTACTTCTTGATACAAGTATCTCAATACAATTTTAAGACTGCATGCACACAGAGTGAAAAACCCCAATTTTTTAAAAATCAAATGCTTGATTTTTAAAAATTTACAGTAAAGTGTGAGGGAGAACTAAGTATCAACTTTCTTTTATTGGAACTGTATAGAAATATGCATATCTACAACAAATGTTTACAGAACCTATGTATCCTATCATGCTTACTTTTAACTGCTGCATTTTTAATACAGGTATATTACATAGTCTTTTTTTTCACTCTGGAATAGCAACTTTAATATGAAATTATTTTAAAACAACTTATTCTGATAGAATCTCATTCAGAAATGTCTTCAAATCCTTGCTTGCTTAATACACAACTGATCATACTGATGTGTGATCAGCACACCACCTTTGGCAAGCTGAACCACACATCCTCTATGCAAACACAGGACAGGATCCCCAGCTGAAACAACTGTGTAAGAAAAGTGTTTAAGTATCAATTTCTGTTTCAAACTGCAGTTTGATAGCATGTTCTTTCTAAATTTATTCTCCAAGATCTGAAGTGTAAAGACTTACAGAAAAAAAATATAAACTTAAAAATGTTAATGCAATCGAGATGTACAGAGAATCATATTGTGCAGCCGTTCCATTTAGTTTATCTGTGTTCACTTCTGCTTCTTGCACTGGAGAGGTCCTGCCGCTCCTGATGGCCTCATGGACCGTAGTAAGTTATAGGAGACAAATGGTCAATTTTCACAGATCTCATGCAGGCATTTCTGTGAGCACCAGCAGATTCCACATTAAAAATCTGCAACTGACACCCAGGCAGCACTGGCACCCTCTGCCTTTCCTTTGTCTCTTGAATGAGTGAAAATTTCACCTTTTGCCTTGAAAAGGGGACATCTTGCACACATGCACTGGAGTATGACCAGAACAGAGTGCCCATGGGGTGAGCGTGTAAGTGCTTGTGTTTGGTCGTCCTGATGCACCAGTCAGCAAGTAAAGGACCTGTGAAGGGCCTGCGATGGCCAAGAGGCAGGCAAGGGTACTGGGCAGGAAGAGGGGCTGTGCTCATCCTTGGGCATCTGCAAATATTTGGGTGCTTGTGAACCAAGAGAGGCATATGTGTGCTTTCACCAGTGAACTTGCACCTCTACCAGAGAGAGAACAGGAAGGGACTTGGCTGCCTGCATTTATGTCTTATGTGGGTACCACATGTGGGTGACCACAGCAGTCAGCATCCTCTTTGTGTATGTCCTGTGGCTGTGTTCATGCTCAGCTTCACCACCGGGCAAACCTGCAAACAGGAAAGTGGCAGGAGGGTCCCGGGCTGGGGCGGCTGGTGGCTGCTCCAAACATCCCGTAACAGCTTCGTAGCCAGCAGGATCTGTTTGAGTTGTGAATATTCCTGAGATTAAATTTATATAATCCTTATGTGATGGGGGATCAATCCTTTGCTAATGTACCTCCAATGATAAATTTGTAATCAAACCTATACAGCCTTATGGGAGCTCCCAAATGGGGACCTACGCTAAAAAATCCTCAGGTTAATTGGAGCAACTGGATTGGAAAAAAAAAAGCAGCAAAAATATGTTTATAGAACATTAGAAGAGCAATTGGAGGTGTATATGGCTGACAGCCTAGAATGTGTAGTTTGGGGGATGAAAAGAGGAGCTCTGTTCTAGGGCCGGTCTTGTTCAGTATCTTTATCAATTACCTGGACAAGGGGATCGAGTGTGCCCTCAGTAAGTTTGCAGATGACACCAAACTGTATGGTAGTGTTGATCTGCTCGAGGGGTGGAGGGCTCTGCAGAGGGATCTGGACAGGCTGGCTGGATAGGCCGAAGCCAACTGTATGAGGTTCAACAAGACCAAGTGTCAGGTCCTGCACTTTGGTCACAACAACCCCATGCAGTGCTACAGGCTCGGGGAAGAGTGGCTGGAAAGCTGCCCATCAGAAAAGGACCTGGTGGTGTTGGTCAACAGGTGCCTGAATAGGAGCCAGCAGTGTGCCCAGGTGGCCAAGAGGGCCAGTGGCATCCTGGCTTGTATCAGGAATGGTGTGGCCAGCAGGAGCAGGGCAGTGACCGTGTCCCTGTGCTGGGCACTGGTGAGGCCGCCCCTCAAATGCTGGGTTCAGGGTTGGGCCCCTCACTCCCAGAAGGACATGGAGGGGCTGGAGCATGCCCAGAGAAGGGCAATGAAGCTGGGGCGGGGCCGGCGGATGGGGAGCGGCTGAGGGAACTGGGAGTGTTCATCCTGGAGAAGAGGCAGGGGAGACCTTATCGCCCTCTACAACTGCCTGACAGAAGGGGGGAGCGAGGTGAGGATCAGCCTCTTCTCCCTGGGAACAGACAATAGGACAAGGGGGAATGGTCTGAAGTGGCACCAGGGCAGGTTTAGGTTAGACATTAGGAAGAATTTCTTCACAGAAGGGGGTCAGGCTCTGGAATGGGCTGCCCAGGGAGGTGGTCGAGTCCCCACCCCTGGAGGTATTTAAAAGAAGGATAGATGAGGTGCACAGGGACATGGTTTAGTGGTGGGATGGCAGGGTTAGGTTAACGGTTGGACTTTATGATCTTAAAACGTCTTTTCCAGCCTAGACGATTCTATGTACAGGACCTCCTCCTACAAGTAACAGATCACTTCCAACTATCAAATGGATAAGTGGTGTTGGCTATAAAGCAGTGGGGAACCTGAGAGAATCAGGCTATGGCTGACCTTTACAACTGAACATTCAAAGCTGTGAAGAATTGGGTAGAAAGGGAATGCAGTTGCAAAGGACTAACCTCAACTTACACAAATTTAAGACTTGATAAAGCCAACTAGTAGAACAGAGGCAATCGGTGAATTACAGGGGAACAAATCACTTAACTCTGCAAATAATGTACCCAGAGGAAATGTAAATCTCGTGGTCCCTGTCATTAGACACATGCGTACCATCCTGCTTGTGCACAAGGGGTGGCTGGGCAGGACAACCCAGGGCCAGCCAGCATGATTGTCACTGGCACAAGAGGATGCTCAGATAAATTCCTCATCCATGAAGACTTTTTTTTTTTTAAACTTTCTGTTCTCCTAATGAGCTGGAACCCTTCTGAGGATGCTTAAAAGATTCTGCCCTTAAAAGCAACAATTCAGGCACCAGGGATAGGCCAGGTGCTAATTTTGAGTGCCATTCTGCATGGTCCCCCCCTTCTCTTGAATTTAAGCTGCTAAAAGCGGCAGCAGCACTCAGAGGTGAAAGCTGGAGGGTGTCTCTGGGGCAGAAGGAGCTTAGATAACATTCAGCCTGATCAAAATTATATTCTGGTTATTCTGCAACAAGCAAAGATTTGGCATGAACACAAACTGCAAGCTGAGGTATGTGGCGATCAAACTTCCCATCTGGAAGTTGGACTTATTCCAGCTTAATGCAACTATTGGTGCCTCTTCAAGAAACTATGATCACTGATAAACCTCACTAACCAGTGGAAGAACTAAGAGTGGCAGCAGTTGAGCCGTTTTTAAACCGTTAGAAACCTAAAACTTCTCTAAAGTAGTCTACACTATCAAAAACACTTCCCTTCTCCAATACTTCCTGTTCCACAGATCTTTTGCAACATTAGCAGTGAATGGTGGTTTTTTTAAAACTATTATTAAAAGGCCAGAGATTCCATTGAAACCATCTAGTTCATCTAATTTCAGAGCATGCCAGAGAACTTTCCTAAATAAAATCTTTATTCAAGTAACACAGTTACACTTGACCTACAGCACCAGATAATTCAAATACTTCCAGCAGAGACAATCACAACCCTTGTTACTTGTTGTAATGATTAATTACATTTGCTGTTAAAAGCATTGGTTTTCACTTGTTTTGCTTTTAAATCGCTCAGTGAGCTTTTTTTTTTTTAAGAAAAAAAAAAGTCAGTTTAACGTATAAACAAGGAGCCTGCCTTATAGGTAAACCAGAGACTGATTTTTTTCTTTCCACTGAGGAACTACATTGAGCAGTAACTTGCCTCCCCCACCCACACTAATAAACTGCCTGTGCCCTCTGGGATGGCAGTTGTGTAGCCTCTCGCATTGCACTGCTGCGGGATGGCAAGGCTGGTTGAGAGACTGGGCACAATGCAGCACTATGCTTGAACTAACATCATCACAGCGCCTACCCCAGAGCAATGTGATATTTGGCTAGCTCAGAACGCTGGCAGAGCAAGCTCGACTTTGCCAGACAGACTGTGTAGACATACCCTCAAGTATCTAAAAGATCTTGTTGTTCCTTAGAGTCAGTTCTGCCCTAGTAACCTGTCTTCCTTTGATTATGCATTCTGGGACTCTTCTCAGATTCTCCCCACACACCCCAAGTTTAAACATACAGAATTTTTTTCCATACAGGTCTAACTAAATTCTGAAAACACAGCTTTTCAGACACATTCTTTAATTTATGCAAACTGCCAGTCAGATTTTAGACAACTCTCAGGACCTGCCATACACAGGTTATGAAGTTGAGTACAAACAGTTCCCTAAAATCTGACACTTGCATCCCCTAGTTTAGGGATGAGAAAATAAAGTATACTTCCTTTCAATAGCACTGCAGACTCTTGTATGCAGCTAACTGAAAACACAGCAATGAAAGGCTGAAAACGGGCACTGAACCATTGCAATGAAATGCCATTTACAAAACAAGACCAAACAATGCCAACATTGAAAGAGGGACTACATGGAAAAGGAAGTTCTAGAAGTCAACAGCTCTGACATTCACTGCATTCTTTCATGCATGCAGACAATTTTATAACCCAGATAACTGAGCAGATTTATTGTTTAAAAGGCCAATATCATTGCTTTCTATACAGTATTTATGAGAAGTCTCACTGGCAGGGAGTATGGCATAAATTTCAGGCAAATGCCTAATTTTCTAAGTGTTTAAAGAAACATAGTTCCAAATTTTAATTTCTTTCAAGTTTTTACAAAATTTTGAGTTCTTTGCTACTATCATATGCTGTTTTCTGTAAATTTAGTTTTCACATTTCAATTAAGGTTGAACTATGACAACAGGATTAAGCACGACATCTATTGTTTCTAGTAAGACCTGTGCACAAGATCTAGACCAGGATACAGTGCTTGTAGCTGACCCTGTCAGACTACCCTCAACGTAAAAATAGGTGAATATAAAGCTGTCATTAGCTCTGTCAGTTGTGGTCCAGTTAGTTTAAGTCTTGATGTTGAAAACAAGACAGATGCTTACCTGCAACTGGCTGACAAAGTACCTATCCAAGCATACATTGGAATAAACAAGCAAATCCAGTAAATGTTGGTATTTTGGTTTTTTAGGGCATTGGCTGTATTTGCAGTTTTTAAGGAGTCTCTCAGTGATTTAACTATTCCTGAAACTTATAAGAAAGTGAAAAAGTGTTTATGTGTAGCAGGGGGCTCCAAGGACAGAGGAGCTCTTGCTAGAACCTCAACCAATCTGAGGACAGCATGTAACTAAGATTTAACTAGTACTTCAACTGCAGTAAAAACGCTTCAAGAATTAGGAGTAAGTACAACTCTCCTCAAGGACAGTCTGAAAAAAACATAAGCAGGTTTGTCCTTCCCTGTTATATAAAAAAATGAAATGTCAACATGAACATCAGAAAGATGAAACCCACTCACACCAAAGTGAATGCATGTTGATAATTTGCACCGTTGTCTAAACAGAAAGACTCCATATTGCTTCCTAAGAAACATTCTCAAGAGGAATTCAATGATGGGAATACATTTATTTAATATTAATTTCATTCAGAAGTGTTTACTGTTTTATCGTAACTGAAGAAAATTGGCTATGTGCAAAAACCAGTTTGTAACAGTTCACCCCAACATCAAGTCAACTTCAAATTCCCTTCTATTAAGGCAATACACTTCTGTACTTCCCACCAATAGGGAATTCTAGCATTAGTGAACTCAGTAGAATTATTTTTAAGTAATTCAATGAAGTAGGTCTACCCACAAAGAGAATGCAAAGGACTGAAATACAGCGGTGTAAAAAGACCCTATTATTTGGTTTATAAAAACTACAATAGCTTCCCAAGTAAATATATGTTTTCACCTCATATAAACAAAGTACTGAATTATAAATTGCTAAATCTTTAACTTTCTAAATGGGAAAACAAAAAGTCCTTGCTGTTTGCCCAAAACTCTCATGGGCAAATGACATCCTGAATTCTTTAATCCAAACAGTGGAAAGAATTTTTTATTTTTTCACATTTTTAAAAGAGACTCAGACTAAGTTTTAGAAACAGTGTATTTCAACAAATTAAAGGCTCATAAGCATTAGCAACAATATTTGAGTCTGCACAGAAAGAGTTCTTTTCTTTTTCAAAGACAGGAATTCAAACCTAAAAAACAGTTTCAGGAGCTGTAGCACAGCTTGAGTAACGTAGAGAATCTTAAACACAGGCATCTTGGAGACAAAGTCAAATAAAGTCAGGAAAAGTATTCTATGCAGTGCAGATGAATTTTATCTCCGTCTAGGACAGAGAATGGGTACAAACCTGTCTTCTTCGGCAAGAATCTCCATCTCCATGTTTTTCCACATTTTGCAAGCTGTTCAGACCTAGAAGACAGTTAATATACATCCAAGACCAATGAGGAGTCAACATTAAGGCAGCAGTTTTGCATTCTACAATTTGCATGAGACAAGAACCTACACTATTTTTGATACGCTTTGACAGACAGGGAAAGTGTCAGTGTCTGTCTATATATAAACATACTTTTATGTATGTATACACATGAATCTCACCTTAGTCCAAGGACTTGAAAAATAGTCTGTTCAAAAGAGTCATTATATTTTCTATGCAATAGAGCTCGCAGAATTATATCTTAAACAATTAGGTAAAAATTGATACTTAATAATGAAATATTGTTGTTTTTACCAACATGAAATGTTTCTACTATACATACCACTCTCATTTTACATAGAGAAAATGGAAACTAATCACCCATCAGAGCTATGATACTTTGTACACAGGTTCCATCACTTCTACAGAACATGTGTCAGGTTCGAACTGTGGCAAGCATCAAGGAGTCTGTCCTTCTATGGCCACATGCAGAGGCTATAATGTCATCTCTTCATGGTAAGAGTGTGCTAGTGTTTTTCAGAACACACTTATAAATATTATATAACCCATACTGTAAGTTTTAAAAAAGTAATACCAGGAAGATGCACAAACATCCTCACTTTGTGCATTTTTCACCAGAATTTGTTTTTCCAGTCAGCCAACCTCTTTAGTCCCTTCCCCCCAAAGTTACCTAGGTCAGAATTCAGAAAGAGACAAGTTTCAGTACTCCTCTGACAGCTTTCTTTTGCTCAGAATACCATAATTCCCAGTAAAGCAAACAAGCAAGCACACTCCAAGTGAACTAGAAAATGGTGAATGATTTTGCAAAACAAGTTGCCAGAGCACCTTAAGCCATTTCATAGTTTCCTAAATGTTGCAAGCACAACAATGCTGTTGTGGCAACGAAACAACAGGGAGGTTCCCCCCCCCCAATAATTTTTATATTAATCCAGTCACATTGGATAGCAGTTATCAAACTACCAGCCAAATTTCCTGGGGAGTGGGGGGAAGCATTTGACATTACTTTGTTTTGAAAGTGTAGAAGTAAGCTAATACTCACTCTGAAGAACACTGCGCTTCCGTCTTGAACGAGGCCTGCAAGGAGCGCAGAAATGAAGATATTTAGAACTTCACGAAGTCTTTATGACCAAGAGCAATAGCAACAATTTTTTTTTTACCTTACTGTGGGTTTTTTTATCTCTCCAGGTGACTGATCTGTAATACTCTGTTGCTCTCCCATTGATCTTTGAAAAAAAAAAAGCCAAAAAAAATTTCCTAAGCAGCAACTTACCATTTATGTGATTCATCAGTATTTTAATGAAAGAAAAGCCCAAGATTTCTCTACAGAAACAGTGACATGCAAACAATAACTGCTTCAATCCATTAACCCTCTTAACCTCACCTCCCTATAACTGGAGGAGAAATACACAAGACATTACACATTTAAGTTGAAGACACGAGGCATTTCACCTCCACCATTACACCTACTGTTTTCGTACCTTCTTCATAATCTAGGAATTATTTCCATAGGTTTTTGATCAAGTCTTTCATTGTACCTCTCAGATGTAATTGTGTCAGGAGCTGTCCTTCTAAAATAAGTCTTATGACTTATCTTCCTGTCTACTCTATCTGCATCAGTCAATTTCCTTAACTAAACGATGCCAAGTATCCCAAGTATAAAACTGCAGAAATACAAGCTCTATCCCAACAAAAGACTACAATTTATTCTCCATGAAAAACAATTGGTGATAAATCTAGAATATTAATATTTTTCAAAATAAAGTCAAAGCAGCTCAGTTCCTTCCCCCCTCCTAAGTTCCCCCAACATTTCTTAGAAAAGCATGTAATTGTTTTCATGGTTCACGTTGGCAGAATCGTGAAGCAATGTAACTATTCCAAATCACACTAGTAACACTAATTAGGAGAATCCTGTGTTCAGCTGCAAGGAAAAAGTAACAGACTAATTCCCTTTCCTTATCCTCCTTCTTCTCCAGACAACTTATGGTCTGAAACTAGGAAGGCAGGACTAAAAGCTTAGTCAAGCATAAAGAGGGAGAAAAAGAGTGAAGTACTTCCAAGTTTTTATTGTTATACAAGGCTGACAGCTGTTTAAACTGAAAAATGTGCATCTTCAACAAGTACTTAAACTTAATGCCAAGCTATTTGATGTAAATAGCAAAAGTAACAGCCATAGAAAAAGCTTAGAGAATGTGCTTGTAGTTAATTTTCTGTTGGGCAGCAGTTTGGAATTTAACATCCTTCCTTCTACCTACTCTTAGTTCTACAAGTTTCAAGTTACTGCATGTCCCTCAGCAGTATAATGCTTAATACAAACCTTTGTTCTGTTTCCAAATTCCTTTTGTCATTTTCATTGACATTCACAGTTTCGTCTTGCAATGCTGTTGCTCCCAGTCCTTTAGACTCTACCTGTTTTGTGGCTGCCTGTCAGAAGTGGAATTGATACTTTAAAATTAGAGCTAGCCAGTACCAAGGTAGCAGTTTACACTAAAATCTACTCTCTATTAGGACATAGTCTACTCTATTAGGACTAACAGTGCTTATTTCACAGACCCTTCAGAGGTATTACCATTAAAATAAGTACTTTCGAAACAACTGTAGTGTTAAAATTGAAATCCATCAAGATCTTTATCAGCTAATAACTCGGGAGAAATTTTAGTCATAGCCTCAAGTGATATTTACATGGACACACAGAAATACAACAGATAGTTGCATAATGAGTGAACATATAGATGCATGAAATAAATGGGGGAGATTAACTAAAACTGCAAATATTATCAAAGTACTCGAAAGTCTGTTTTTTATAACTAGATTAGAAACTGAAAACTGACAGGCCTTACAAGTTCATCTAGTTCTGTAGCACATGACAGGATCAAGCATACCTATAACACTTTCAAAAGACGCATATCTAATCAGACTTTAGGCTTGTATTGTAACTTTTCCTGTATTAGCAAAAAGAATCGCGCAACATCCTGCCTAAGCTTTTAGCCACAAACTAAGATTATTTCTCCTTCATTCCCAAGAGGAGGAAGGAACAGTTCATTACTTTTTATAGAATGTCCAGAGGACTGCAAGATTTGTACTTTTCCCTAGATTCCTCCCACTTACTTGCTATAATAACTAACACCTACAAAAAAATAATCACTTAGTCCACATGAGGTCATTCTTGCCACTTTGCTATCAACTTTCTTCTCCAGTATCTTAAGGTATACTCACTGCCCAAACCATAAAAAAAGTCCTGGTTGTACACCATCATTATTAAGCAGAGCCAACCTTCTTCTATCCAACACTCTATATATCCCAAAAGGTGATCTGTTTTGCAGCACTCAAAGATCAAAACGATTCAAAGTTGAAAGATTCATTACAGGCCCAATATTAACTCTTTCTGCTAGCCAGTTGCTCCCACTTTTCATCTATTTCCATTTTTAAGGCTTTCTTTTGCTTCCTGTTAAGTTTTTGTCACACATCCAACTTTCAGTCTTCTTGAAATCTTAACCTGTACTTCAGAGTAACTTGCAGAATGTCTCAACATCTATAAGAGTCAGATAATATAAAAACGTTCTCCTTTTCACTCATTCATCCACAAAAATACTGGAAGGTATTCTGGTCACAGAATACTTGCAATCACAGAAGAAAGTGTTTCACTGTCAGAAATTTCATAACTACCCGAACTACTGCATCTTTCAGCTGTTAAGTTTTCAAAAGACTGGCTCTTTTACAGTGGTTGGTGGTAGCAAAACACACGCGAAAGTGAAGACATGTTTCCTTACAAATGATGGGTAGAAAGGATTTAGTTATAAAAAAGTTTAAACCCACTATATTGTATTTTAAAAGTTATATTAGCTTTCAAATTGTACTTGTCCCTAAAAATAATTCTTTTGAAAGAGAAGTTAAGGTTATAAAGAAAAATTAAAGAGTATTCAGATCAGTCCTTTCTTGGCACAGGACCTTTTTCCTTGTAATGCATTATCTGCAGACTGTTTTTAGGGCAGCTAACCTGTAAGAGTTTCTTGAAGCACAAGAATTTCATCAACAGTAGGAGCTGCAATCTTGTAGATTCCAAGCTTGACAATAACCTAGAAAAAGCAGCCTACAAAAAAAATCGAGCAATATAGATCACCTTATGGTGGATGAAAAGCTAGACATGAGCAGACAATGCTTGCTCACAGCCCAAAAAGCCAACCATATCCTGGACCATATAAAAAGAAGGATGACCAGCAGGTCGAGGGAGGTGATTCTGCCCCTCTACTCTGGTGAGACCCCACCTGGAACACTGTGTCCAGCTCCAGAGTCCTCAGCAAAGGAAAGACATGGACCTGCTAGAGCAGGTCCAGAAGAGAGCCACAATAATAAGAGGGCTGGAGCACCTCTCCTATGAAAAAAGGCTGAGATAATTGGGGTTGTTCAGCCTGGAACAGAGAAGGTTCTGGGCAGACCTTATTGCAGCCTTTCAGTAGTTAAAGAGGGCCTATAAGAAAGACAGGGACAAACTTTTTAGCAGGGTCTGCTGCAATAGGACAAAGGGCAATGGTTTTAAACTAAAACAGGGCAAATTTAGACTAGATACAAGGAAGAAGTTTGGTGGTTTTTTTTTTTTTTCTCTCCACTGAGGGTGGTGAAACATTGGAACAAGTCGTTCAGAGAGGTGGTAGATGCCCCATCTGGAAAAACTCAAAGCCAGGTTGGATGGGGCTCTGAGCAACCCGATCTAGTTGAAGATGTCCCCGCTCACTGCAGCGGGGTTGAACTAGATGACCTTTAAAAGGTCCCTTCCAACCCAAACTATTCTATGATTATATTTCTACATATGGCACCAGAAGAGAGAGAAAAGAGATTAACACAAAGGTAGAGCGTTTTTCTGTAGGCAATGTAGGGTACACTGCTGGGAAACAGTAATGCATACTGCACAGCAGAAGCAGGAACTCTTCACAAAGCTGCCTTCTCCATGTCCCAGAGTAACTCAGTCCAAAGTAAAGACTTCATGATATTTGCAACATTACTGCAGGCAGTAGGACGGATGTGCAGGAAGTGGGGGTGCAACACAGAGGGCCTAGGTATGCTAGTATGGAGTTCTGGGCCTTCTCCAACACCTCCAAACCTCCATCTCCTCTTAGGCTCAAAGCAATACCCTTGAAAAATAAGCTTGAAAACTGACAGCGAGTGAAACCATTAAAAGATATTGTATTATACTCTGAATGCATTTAATAAGTTCTCTAGTCTTTCGGGTAAGAAAATGAAAACCTCAAAGGAACTTCAGGTTTGTTTATTTAAGTTTTTCTTCTTATTACCTTCAGATGTTTGTGCCTTTGTAATTGAGTAATCCAAGATTCTTTTATAGGAAGTAAACATAAGAGAAATTCTTTACAATCCTCCTGAAGATGAACTGCAGGAGGAATGTCGTTCTTGTCAATTTTAAATCACTTTTGAGCAAGATGGTTTGTGAGGAGCTTTTTTATTTACAGGAAAACAGCAATAGAAAACTACTGTCTCAACTCCTCTGACATTCCTAAAGCTTTTAACCCAATTAAAAGGTCTTAAGCTTTTAGTTTTAGTGTAAGAAATCATACAGACTTAAAATAAACTGTAAATATACAGTTACATTATCTTTTAAGGAGTCTCAGATCAGAACTGCTTCTCTTAAACATACACTAATGACAGACCTCATTTTAATTATGCTTTTTTCCTAACTATTTTTCTTTTCAAAACAATTGTGGAAGAAACATTCACAGAAGATATTTTAGAGGAACCTTACTCCTACTAAACTTTCTCCTAATCATATATTAATTAAAAAAAAAAAAAAAAGAGTTGAATAAGACAATCCAAAGGAAGATAAAGGTTACTTTTAATCTAATACAATAACTGAATATTGTCTAAACAACTCCCTTGAAAGTATAACTCTAATCTGATCAGGTGCCTCTTTTGAAATAAGTTCTGAAAATAGTTTTGACATACCTGTATTAAGAAGTTAGTTTCATTTTCTTTCATGTAAAGTTCAATGTAAGACTTGATTTTACTTATCAAAAGATTGTAACTGAAGCTTTGGAGAAGGGGAACATATGGATCCTTGCTTTTAATCACAGTTGCCAGCTTCACCCTTAAAGGCTAAGAAAAGCACAGCTTTACACAACACAAAAATATATCCTGCAGTAAACTTGGCATCTATGCTAAACAGGAAATACATAAAGCTAAACATTATGATTATATAGTTTTCTGAATATGCCTATAGGACTTCATGCTGCAATTTGAAAGATTCTGAAGTTCACTAGGCATAATACCAGGAGTTTACTTTACGTGCTCAGTAAATGGTTAAGTGTAACTTTCCAGAGATCCTCATTTTCATTACCTTTATGAATAACACTGAAAGCGGGGTTATCAATGGAGCAAAACCACCCAGAAAAAGCCACTCAGTACTGAGTTCTCTTTTTGCATTTGCTGCCTCAAAAAGACTGCCATTGAAAGGGGTTTACAGTGTTCAGGAAAAGGACTGTTTAGTACAGTAGCATTAAGGACACATTGATATGGATAATTGCAACTTCACATTTTGTCTGCCAACCACTCTGAATCTCACAGAGACCAATATAGCCAAGAATTAACTTATGGGTATAGGTTGTGTTCTTACTGATGAATTTGAATACGATTACTACAGCCTACATTTCCAAACATCTGAATCCTCCGAATGAAGAGCGTATCTGAAGAATGTTATACACATGCTACTATTTACATAGAACATGTGTCCTAGTATTCCAGAGGAAGACAGAGGCAGCATTTTTACCTTTTTTTTCTTTTTGCTTGCAGTCCTTCTTTTGCCCTTTTCTCCACCCCAGCAAGTTCAGGTGTGTGCACTAGCTATTATTTAAAGAGCTATGCAATCAAACTTGCATCTTTCCGAATGATGCAGTCAACATCAAATGAGGAGGTGGCCCGACCCACATATGTTGTCTTTTCCAGACGGAGGCGTAATAATATGCACTCTGTACTACAGATGCTAAAGAGCTTTCCTTCCCTGTGATGCTTCAGTATGTAGAACACTAATCAGAGACAATAGAGTGCACTGCAATGGTTCAGAAAACATCAGCAGACTGATTATTAGGCAGTTACTATGTCTCTACCAGCATGCTTGCATGGTCTTTACTCTGAGAAAACAGCAATATCAAATTCCCAGAAACTGTAGTGACACCTCACTCCTCATATGAGGTGGGAAAGGGGCTGAAGTTCAGACTGATGCTGTCCACAGTGAAGAACAACTGCTGCTAGAAGCATTTTACTGCCCCAAATCACCCATTATTTCCATCAGTCCCCTAGCCACAAGTTTAATTTTGTATTTGCAAGCGCCACAGTGCATAAGTGGCTGCATAGGCAGTAATTAGGACAAAGCTATGCAGGTAGCATTTGCTAGCTTCAGAAACCCATTCACCTCTTGTCCTCTGAAAATTAGAGCGTAATGTCAGTTAAGCAAGTTACTACCTTATCTGATTCAGAGTCTGTAAGTAGTCTTTCAAGAACTTCAGCAGCCTCCTTGAAATACCCGTTTTCCATATGGACTGCTACAGTCTACAACAAATGTTAGAACATATGCTGAAATACATTTCACCCAAGATTCAGAAAAAACAAGAGAAGTCATGCTTTCGCAGTGTTGTATGACTTCCAAAATCAGGAGGATAACACATTTAAGGGTTACTAATAACTATCCAGTTACAAGTTAGTTCTGAAGTAATATTAAACCTCATGTATAAAGGCCTAAAACCTCTCCATCAAGCATTTAAGAGGACCCTCACTGATGCAAAATAACCCATACTTACCTACTAAGTATTGATTTCATCTTTCCCTGACTTTCACAGTCACAGTAGCTGTCAACTTGTTTTTACACGTTTCTCTTTGAAATCAAAAAAGTTTTCCAATACAAAGACTTATTTTAAGCAAGAAAGCTCTTCATAATATATTTTAAAGCTCAAGATACTAGTGTTTTGAAATTGCTTGCTCAATTGATATCTCATTTTTTTCAGATTGGCAGCTTTTGAATCAGTTTTGAACTGGGACAAACAGGAACCAATTTAGATAGGAAAAGGTTCCCTGTACAGATCTATTTACTTTGTACTTGAAAATACAACAAACTTAGAAAATTCAGTTCAGCCTGCTAACAGCGCACGCTTTTTGTAAAAGGAGCCCCATTTTAGCAGAATGAATAGATAGCATCCTGAAGCATTTTAAATAAGTCACACAGACCTGAATTTGAATCAAGCGGCGAATATCTTCATGAAGCTTTTCCAGTTTCATTTCTTCCCTTTCAAGTAAAGTCCAGAAAGACAGGGCAGATTCCAAAGGTGAAATTCTTTGATCATTTTCAAAATGGCATTCTTAGGGGGAAAAAAATGGAAAAAAGTATTTAAGAAAATTGAAAGGATATAGCTAAATATATTACATTATTTATACACAACTCAGTAATATATACTATACATAATTTCAATTCCTTTTTCCTCAAATATTTTTTAGTCTCTCTCTTCAGGTGTGTTTAAGAGACCTGAAATAACTGCAGTCTTTTCAAAAAGAGTGGTTCTTCCTACCCTTGCTAACACCACTACTGTTATATTTTTAATGGAGATTATGTATCTGCTAGTTATTGTCCATTTAAAATGCCACTTGCAATAGTGCTGAGTTTAGCCTCATGTATTTGGGCTGGCATTAACAATACTCTTACATTAAGCCTGGCATCAGATATCAAAACATTTGCTATTGATAGTTAATTTTTGGAATATAACCAGTATCCTAAGTTTTTTTTTCCTGAGTCTCTCTCTATATTTCCACGTCTTAACTTGATTATATTTGAAGGGGTTAAGCAGAGAAGGAAATTCAAACAGCTTAACACAAGAGTACCACTGAAAATGCGGAAGCGACCTCCTGTGTCACTGTACAGCTGCACCAACACCACCGTCTGTGCAAACTCCCAGCAAGCAGGACCAGTGACCAGTTGTTCCAGCAGAAATCTAGCCCAGCCAAATAACTATCGCCTCAATACTCTAGCAGCAGTTTCCCAGTCTGGTCATTGCACATCTGCACAAGTCAGTGTGCCAACAGAACAGATGCAGTAGGAGCTGGCAGGTACACAAGACTTTTTTTCTCCCATGGCACTGCCTGCTTAGCTCAAGATGTTCACTGAACTGCTGCCTCACTTATTCCTTCACTTTATATGACTTCATAGCAGAATCTCTCTCATTATCTTCTTAGTCCTTACGGTATTTTTCAGATAGAACCTAAACAATTTAAGTAATACTGAAAAAATAAAGAAATACTACAGTAAAAGACAAAACACTGTAAGTAGTATTATATATATATATACACACACACACACTACAAAAATAAAACACTTCTGTGTTTCTCTATCATTTCAATCAAGTAATATGACACTTCATATTACGTTTATTTTAATATTGTAAAATCAGAGTGCTTAACTTTTAAAGAACTAGCATCTGAAACAGCCTACTCTGTTTTAAGGCTCAGGACAGATTAAATATTTTAATAATTGGAAAAGAATTAGGAAAGCTACCATACAACATATTCTCTTTCCATGTACATCTACATACTACATCTGATGTAAGCACATGCAGTCTCTCTCACCACACAGGTCACTCTCTACACTGATAGGTACAAACACACATTGAATTCATATTCTAAAGTGTTATTATACAATAATAAAGTTTTAAAGCATGATCATAACTTGTATATGATGAACTATTCTAAATATTATTTTGATTCCCAAGTTAATAACACTCTTCTTGATTTAGTTTATCTGACAGGCAACGTTAAGAAATTTCATTTTATAAAAACAGGCCTTTGTGGCACTGCTAGGCTAGAATACACTTTTTTTTCCTTCCATGCTTACGCTGGCAAGACTGCTTTTGAAGTCCTTAAATTCCAATGAGTTTTATCAAGCAGTGAAAACTTGCAGCAAAAAAGTTAGTGTTCCAAGGAACTTGAGCTTAAAAGCAAAATCAGCTTGGCTAACTATTAAGTTGTGAATGCAGCCAAACAGGAGACATGGTAGTAAATAAGACTCCCAAGGACCTACTGCCAGCTGAAAGTCTTACAGCCTTCTGTAAGAAACAAGGGCAGTCATCCTTTTCATCCATATCCTTTATTCCTACTGTCTATCCTACTTTAACCTCTAACATGTGCAGAAAGAAATGCACATTCTGTGCTTTAAACTTGCAGATATTGCCCACTAAGAGCTAGTCAATCTTTTCCAGTATATTTCTTTTGTTGATGCTACTCTGACAGAAAAAAAAACAACCAAGAAAACCCAACCAAACTATAATTTACAAAGCATACAGTTATTCAAACTCAAAGCAGCTAAATCAGTCAGCAACCAACAAAACCCAACCAAACTATAATTTACAAGGGATAGTTATTCAAACTCAAAGCAGCTAAATCAGTCAGCACAGAATAACACTGGTCCTGCATACAGCTCAGTTACATGTGCAATATAGACAGTCCAAAATGTAGAGTTCAGTCATTTGACTTTTTTTATCTATATATGTCCAGTAAAGGCTATGTGAAAACATACCTAATACACCTCTGCACAAGTTCATGCAAATCTATTTAACCAAGTGGGAAAAAAAAAAATAAAAAAAAATCAGAGTATTTACCAAGGTTTTTTCCTTTTGCAGTTCTTATCAAAAGCTGACAGAGATACACTGTTTTTTTCTGATGTGTAGGTATTTTGGAAAGGCCATTAATAAGAGCTGGAAAAGAAGAGAAAAGTTAAGTCAGTCTTGCTCCAGCACTGCCACAGTGTGGCTAGAAATATACTAGACACTGTCTTATCAGATTTTAATGATCAGTTACTACATTTCTAATTCGTTAGGAAAATGATGCAGCACATCTAGTTAATATTCTTCCATGTTAAAAGAACTTAAATCTCATTTAAGAATTTGACCAGAAAAACCTATCCCTCTGGCAGCTCACAACAGTAAACCTAGAAGTGGTAAGGTGCATCACAGCATCTTAAATAAATAGACGAAGTTTTGTTTTGCTCAGGAGCTTACTACAAAAGACAACTGTCTGCTCCAGAGAACATTTCTGTGGAATGCCCACAAAACATAAGCCACATGCAGACTGGTAACCCTTACACATTGCTGTAGCAACCGACAGACCAAAAAAGCAGTGAAAGCTACCAGGAGAGCTTAGTAAGAAATATAAATCTACAAGGGAAATCCTCCTCATAAGGTTGAAAAGTCACAGGAATTATTATGTATTTTAGAATGGGAGCTATCATGAGATTATTTCTATTATGCTGGTTTTTGTGAACTTCGTATTTTAACGTGCTGGATACAGTAATTAAGTCTTCACAGCATAATACAGAAACATTCAAAATGAAAAGTGAAGAATGCATCAAGTGACTTGTCTAAGGTGCAGACTGCACACCCTAGCTCAGGAAGCGTTTATGTACACCATTTGGGGTCAGCCTAGCAAAAGCCAGGATTCTGGAGCATGGGACCCCCAGGTTTTGCAATGACACAACTAGAGCACATAACACATTGTTTTACTTGGAAGTACTCAGCATACTTGTTTATTAGTGTGTGATTTTTTTTCCTATGAATAATGGATAAGTATGAAATTATTAAGTAATTTAATAGCCCCGAATGATAACCTAAACTAACATGAAGCAGGATATTGTCATTTGGTCTCAGAAGAACACATTTACAACTGCTTCAGTGAGGACAGGTGATACAAGAGCTTTTAATTCCTATAGCCAAAATTGGAAGTAAAACCAGAACACTGCTTAGAACAGCAGTAAGACACTACTCATTAGAATCACAAATTCATGCATCTTCCATAGCAGACAGAGTTCAATTTCAGAAAGAGTTTGGATGAGTACAATGATAGAGACAAGCACCGTCATCATGCCCTGGAGATGGAGCCAGAGCTTGGAAATTTTGGAACTAGGCAGAATACTGTAGCTGAAGGATTCTACAGAACAAAAGGGGTCATCCTGACAAGTAGCTGGAGATCTTTCAGCTTTCTCTGTTCTTTTAAGGTGATTTAATTCACAGCAGGGGTGCATTTTTAAAGCAAAATTTCTGTGCGTGGTCCATACAATGAAGCGGTCTCGAGTACACAAATTTAATTCCTTTAGGGCTATTCCAAAGAAAGAGAAACCTTGAAATGTTTACTGCGTGGACACCAGGTCCTTAGCAGCAATTACTCATAAGTAATGCAGACAAACAGAAAGAGACTTAGCCTTAGTAATCTTTTCTAGACTGTTCTCCCTCCCCGCCACCAAGGCAGTTTCTCTATTAATTCATTTGTTAATAGCGCCCTCCATCATAAATTGCTTTCTTCCCTATAGCCAGTCAAATGTATTTCTCATACATTAGAAATTCTAGAAATCTAGAAATCCAGTTCCTTGCCATGTAGACACCTACACAAGCTAGTTCAGGTGTATAGACCATAACATCCTGTCAAGGCAGGAAAGGTATGCAGGGCATGTAACCTTGCCATGCTGTCTTTAAATCCTTAATCCCAGGTAACCTAGCTATTTCTACTTGGCAGTGTACTGAGCTATACAGAAATATCATTTATCTCCTAATCATCTTGTTCCCTTAGCCTTTCTACCTTTCTGCACTTGCTTCAGTTTGAATTGACCTACTTGTTGACAGCCAATCATTATTTCAGTAGGGTCTCACTTTGACATACGCAGGAGCAGTAGTTCTGCATCTCTATAACAAAAACACACCCACTTTTCTAATGCAATATTATGACCGTGCCTAGGTTTCTCCATAGACTTTAACACTTCTGATTTTGTAATCTTATAGCACTAATATGCCCAACTCTGTTACTGAACAGAGCAGGAACAAATTCCAAATTTGCTATTAGTTCCCAGTTCCACAGGACCTTGCATTCTCTGTAGTCTAATTAATTGTTTCTACTAATGCAGTCCTCAAAAGTCTTCCTGTTCTTCTCTGGAGATACTCTAATCTGCTTCTGTGTCAACAGCATCTCTGCTTCCCACCTACACCTTCATGAAATTTCAGTACGAGTCTCTCACTGAGCCACAGTCCCAAGGCCAGCCAAACCAGGAGAAGCACCATTAATAATTTAACCTAGCAGCCCCCCATCCCATGTACTTCATTACGTTATCTTTAGACTTCTTACCCTTACAATGTCTCATGTCAATCTCCTTACTAATCATTCTGCATGCCACTGTATTCCATGCCTTGCAAAAGTTTAAAGTCACGCTATCACATTTATTTGAGTCAAGAACACACACACAAAATTCCCAAGAGCTCTAACCTAGTATCTTCAGTAAAGTTATCTCTAACAGAAAAACCATCATAAATCCATCAAATTTATCTGAGACCTAGACATTTACTTCCAGCTGTTAACTACTCACTCTTCAGCATTTCTAATTTTAAATACATATTTTTCCACTTGAAATCCAGTCACCAGACTTCATTCCACCTTTGCCTGCCAGACTATAGTTCCTTGAAATACTTCTAGTCTTCTACCATAACCCTGAATATAAACTCAAGGAACTCAGTGTAGTGAAGTAATTCTGCTCTGGGTTTTACAACGTTTGCATCTCTTCACTAAATCCTCTTCAAGTTTTCATTAGCCTTGAACTCTCAGCATCCGAGGCCACAGCTTCAGTACCTGCTAGTGATATATAGGAAACCATAAGATACATGCTAGCTTCACAGAATCACGATGACAGATTAACACCGACGCTTGCATTCACCTCATCACCTAGAAGACCTCACCCCCAGCCCCTCAGTAACCACTGCTTTATTGCAACAGTTGGGTTTGCTTCCCTCCCTGGAATCGCTTCACTAAAGCAGCAAGATTCCCCAAAACTGTGATCATCTTACAGTACTCCAGCAGAACTGCCCTTTGCACGCTAAATTCAAACACCAGGGGATTAAAAAAAAAAACAACAAAAAACCAAAAACCCAGCCTGCAGTGTTTTACTTGCACCACGTGCAAACGTTGCTGATACCGTTAAATCGCCTCAACGGACTACCCGGTACGAATCTTCCTCAGCCGCCCCGCAAGCG